ATGTACAAAGACAGCTCATAAGAGATCTGGCGCTACTGGGGGACAGGTTTTACGCGTTTGCACTTGTGCACCAATGCAGCAAGAGTCTGAAATTTCAAAAAAAGTTTGATTTACGTGTTACTCTGTTATCTGTTACTCATTTGATACTCTGCTCATGTGGTTGGCTTTTAGTCACCCCTGGAGGTGATGTAATTTGGGCACGTTTTTGCGCATTTACGCATGTGTTTTCTGCATTTTGTGAATCCTCATGGATGCACTGACGGCTAAACCCACATTAGCTTGTTGAATCACAGTGTCACTGCATGGATATCCATCATGGCACAATGTAGAGATTAATCTTCCCCTCATGTAGGAAATAGGCCTACATTTGTCTCCACATCCCCTCTGACTGCCGCGCCACACTGGACGCGGCTCTGAGAACTCTGTCTGACCTTCGCCCTCGCCCCTGCGAAGCCCTGCAAGTTCCCCGGCAGTCGCAAACAACTCTGAATTCCATAATTCTTCGCGAAAAGGCACTATTAGGGAAAAATCCTTCCTTTTTGACAATTTAATAGTGCAAACTAATCATCTGGTTGACACGGGCCATTCATCTCCGTACAGGCGGACAAAGACAAGGCCTTTTCCATAGGTTCGTCTGGATCCTGCAGTCAGACCAGCCTCTATTTTGAGATCAAGTGCACAATAAAAGCATTGTGACTGCTTAATGGCTATGTTTGTGAAGCCACCCAAAACCCAGTGTATTAAATGCATTTTTTTTCTTTTGCAAAGAATGAAAAAGAGGCCAACGTGGACTAATGGCCGCACAACTGAGAATAAACCGGTTTCAATGAGAAGCAGGATGGTACAAAACTTTGTTTGGCTGCTTAAAGCAATCAAAACATGAAACAAAGGGAAAGATAGGGGATAAAAACTGGGCGCCGCAAAATTGCTTAAACCCCCCAAGTTATGAATTCGTTTCTGAATCAATTTAGCGGTGCAGGCATTTTCCAAACATCCTCTTGCGGGAGTAACAAGACAGGGAAATTGATCCGGTGAGACCTCACCTCTTGGTGCGCCTCAATAAAAGAGACATCAGCCTCTCTCGACGACTGTATAATTTTTAATATATATGCAATAAATGTTCAATTTGTTTCCAGAAATGACGGGAAATAATAACGTCAAATTTTAAACCCATCCATTACAGCCAAACAATGCTCATGCATACGTGCTCTGACGCAGAGTGCTTTGATTAATTCATATTTTGATTGTGTTTGATGAAGCAATAACGTTACAGCACTCGACTTTGGACCAGTTGGACCATTTTTTCCTCCTAGAAAACAAATATGATGGTGGCTGTGCTAGGATTTTAAAATATATATATATATCAATATTTATTTTATTAAGCACATAGATCCCTTTTTAGAAGCTTTTCTGTTTGTTGTCCTGGTGGGCTCTATAAGGGTACATTAGCACACAAATATAATTATGAATGACATCCAATTATAGGTGTCGCAGTATTTCCCAAAGCTGTATTCATTTAAAAACCTCAGTACTAAATCCTCAGATCCAAAAATCCCCAATAGAATACAAACATCCATTCCATCTAATGGACTCTTATTGGTCAGAAAACCTTTGCTCTGTCTTCATCCCTTCCTTGAATAAATGTAATTAGTTAATTGCATGCTTAAAATGACACATTTTAAAATTGCATTCCAGTAGCTCTAATTGGTGTGCAATTTAGAATCTATTCCTCAGGTAGAGGGAAAAAAATCGTCCCATGTTGTTTTCAGATGTCCTTCAAGTCATAACAGAGACAAAACAACACAAATGGACCCTTATTGAAGAGTACAAATATAAATATAAAATCAAATGTATTTACATAAATGTAAGAGCAACATTTTTTAGTTTCTAATGATACCAGAAGAGAGAAATTGCCACTTATAACAACACAACCTCACTGTTAATGCACCAAAAGTCATTGTAGGAATGTTAAAGTGGTAATTTATAAGATATTTTAAAAATATATAAATATCATTACCAGTTCAGTTTTGAGTGCCACATATGTTTCTGCTTTCAGTCTGGTTGCAGTTCAACAGTGCAGGTAGAGGGGAGGCCGGGGGTCTCGGATCACTGTAGACCTTGACACAAAGTGCATTAAGTTGGCTGATCTCTCTCAAACCATTTGATTAATTCACTCCCATTCAAGCCCAAGCGAGCAAGGAGTGGAGGGACGTGACCAATGACATAATAGGCTCTGTCAAACAGCCTTGCAAAACGCCCAGACCATTTGTGGTGACAATCCTGATGCCATCAGAGCCATTATAAGCCCCCATTCAACCCAGAAACAAACATAGCTTTACTCCCAAAAAGGGAAAAGTCAGCTTTCTGGTGGATCCCCTTTGCTTTCTATGTCAATAGTGTTTGGCTCAAGGCTCGCTGTGGGCACAAGATTTCCTCCAGCCTTTATAGAAGTAACTGAACAGAGAACAACATGCTGCTTTTATCACTAAGACAAAATAAAAAATAATGTAACCAGACTTACCCCCTCTAGGAATATTGAGGCAATTATATTTAAAGAAACAAAAGGAGCTCTTTCTTGACAATGCATTTAAAATAGCAAAATAATACACCATGTTTGAACACACTTCTCCTGTTAATGGATGTCAAATGTACTAAGGTTTAACTCTTTGCATTCTAAAACATGCAGAAAGCTCATTTCCTTTTTCCTGAAATTACTTCTGTGATAATTACATCAATCGAACATGTTTTTAGTGAAGGTTTTGTGTAAAGCGTGGAGTACATAAAAGACCTTAGAGATGCTGAAAGCTTTACAGAAAATGGTTTCTGAGTCTACAAATACAGTATAGCTCACAGTGAAGCGGAGGAAATGTAGCAGCCTACAAAGCTTTATAAACCAGAGCCCTTTCTGTTAAATGGATGGCTTACATTCCAGGAAAAAGCTAATGAGGGAAGCTAAGAGGCCAAGAAAAGCCTGCACTGAATGCATATAACAGCCATGTTAGAGTGACAAAACTGAAGGGGCTCAGAATGTTGATTTTCGTTATTTAGACATTTATGACAGCAGCATACAGGCCTTAATGAAGAGGACCAAGTGAGCCTCTCAAAACATTTTGGAAATGTTTGCATTATCTGATAAAACCAAAGCAGCATGCTTGTTCAGCTTGAATCACACAAGCTTCATTAATACACTCACAAACTCGCAAAGATGGTGGCAGATCTTCAAAAACATAAAGCGAGGGACAGGATGATGATCAGAGACTTGGCCTCCAGTCTGTAGTTATTGTCAAGAGGAGCCTGAACATTGGAGGTTCTCTTAGATTTTGGGGAATTTGAACTGTTTTGCAAATATCTTTTGCTGTGAATAAAAAAGCAAAAGGTGCCAAACATTCTTTATATTTTTATAGATTGTCAGAGAATAGCAGCACTGATTTCATTTCAATTGTCGTTATTTATTTTTATATTTAAATCAACGCAAAGCAATGAAAATGTAACATGTGAAAGTGTGTATATTCACTATAAATCACAGGGAACTCAGTCACACTGTAGCCCATCATGAAAATCTCTTGAACGGTCTTGTGACTTATCTGAAACGCCTTCTTAGATCCGCCAACAAAGACATAAAAGGCGGAGAAGTCTGTTGATAACTCGCTTTATTGTTTCTTTAACCAGTTTGAGGGAAATCCACCGTGTCCTTCCTTTCCTCCCTATCAAACCAGCTCTTTCTTCTCGTCGTCTTCCTCGCTTGTCCCGATTTTCATCCCTTACCACACCCCAATACATCCACAGACTGAGATGGAGCGATTACAAGCGCATTCATTTGAGTATACAAGACGGTTTATTTCTTTTAGAAAGCTTTCACTTTGGTCTGTCACTCACTCCCCTTTCTTTGTTTCTTTCTCTAGAAAACTGTTGATGCAGAAGCTTTGAGGGAAAAGATTAAACAAAGTGTAAAGTGAGCGCAGGTTGAAACTCATCTGGTTTACGCAGAGAAAGCAAAGGTCGTTTTACACCAGAGAATATATCTGTATTGTTCTTATTAGGGCTATTATCATTATTATTATAGTAGTCCATATTTTAATTACAATATAATAATAATAATAATAATAATAATGATTGCTCATTATTATGGAGTTCAACAGAATGTTCTACTTTAACAGCAGAAGATCAAACATCAACATCTTTGATTATGTTCATTATCTGATGGTATTATTAGGAATGACCCTTAATTATGCTGTTACTCTTTCTCTTTAAATTGATAGCTGTGTTATCCTTTGAGCTGCAGTAAACTGTCTTTGTTGTAGAACTTGACCGATGCGGCAGTGAAATGTAGAGATCGCATGAAATTCTTGGTACCTCCCAACAGGTTCATTCTTCCAGTAACATAATCAACATTAGCACATCGTTTTTTAATTTAAATAGGCCGATATAGGACAAATAATTCCCATTTTCAGAAGACCATAAACGAGTTTTTACAAACAGAAAAGTCCGAGCTGTTCCTGTAATATTCCTGCATTCATACTTTGTGTGACTCTGGTACTCACACGGGTGTTTTTTTTTTTTTTTTTTTTTTTGGCATCACTGCAGGCGAACACTCCTATGGCAATACTAATAACTGTAAAACAATCTATTTCCTTCATAATCTAGCAATGCATGGGGTATTTCTTTATGAACACGCATCGAAGGAGCTCATATAGTTCCCCCTAAGAAGCCTCATGGCCAAATTAAAACTCGGGCAGAAAACGTTGTCTCATTTAAATTCTCACCTTGAGCTCTCTGGTGACTGGTAATGGTCCGAGAGGAGCTGACGCTTAAAAAAAAAAAAAAAAAATCATCAAGGTCTGTTCTCTCTGCACGCTACCGAATACCGAGTGCTGTCATGCCCGACAAATTAGACGACATAGTAAAGAAAACACAGAAAATAGTGACAATGTTTTTGCAGGCAGAAAGGTCAGGTAAAGATAGAAAATGCATGCAAGGCAGGACGCTGCAGCCTTACTTACTCTGTGTGCTGTGCTGAGTCTCCGCAGTTTAATTACAAGCCCTAATTTCCAATCGCAGATAGTGTCAAAAGATCTGCGACTATTTCTCAGAGATTCCCTTTAACAAGTGGAAACTTAGTGTCCTCCTGCACCATTTTATACATGATGAGCCGTCAGTAATGGGATTATTAAACAAAAACGTTTCAGGCGCTGGCGTTAACCTTTTTTAATGCCTAATTAGGTTTTGCAAAGAAATAATTAGATTCTACAGTGCTTACACTGCCTATATTTTCAAATGGCATCTCCAGCAAACACATCACCCTGCGACACTCGTGCCAATAATCTGCGGATATATGCGCTACAGTAGCAGTCAGATGTAAGATTTTAAAACATGTTGGGACCAAATAAGGTGCACTTAAAGCTAAAATAATTATCCAATACAGGCTATAGGCCAACCTGCAGGAACATGATAGTCTGGTCGACTGCGCCCTCTTGTGGCAGCATCTTAAACGACATTTGAATTACTAATACAGCAGGAGATCATTTGGATAAAAAAAGATCGAGGTTGTAAATGTTTGATGAAAATAAAATGTTAATCTTTAGCTCAAAAGCCTACTGGTCTCAAATCGAGGGATGAAAAAAAAAGAGGAGTTAGTTTCTGTTCTAAGAATGTGGGCGTTGACCTTGGCGCAGGCGCACTAATGTTCTTTCCTTGTGCGTCTTAAGAAACATATATTCAGTAACTACAATGTAGCTCTGTGGATCTCCACAATACCACTGCCTGACATCAAGCTGGAGTCTTGTTATGTGATTATTTTGAGCCTTGCAAAAAGTGACAAACATACAAGTAACTGTTTCTTACATACACTGCATATAAGGAGCAGAATGGTTCCCTATACATATACAATATAGACATATTTAGACATTTAAAATAATAATAATACAGGGTAAAATGTCAGTTACCACAGTGACTGCTCTAAAGCCTCGTTCTTACCAAACACCATTTATTTATTTATTTTTTGCTCATATAGATCAGTCATAACATGGAACATTTATCATTTTAAATCCTGATCTGGGCCACTTTCATGTGTCATGTGGTCCAAATCAGATACAGGTCTCAGTGTGAACAGCCATATCCAAATTCATGTGACTTTTACGTCACTCCAGATCATGTGGGTCACATTTAAAAAGTAACGTGAACATTATTCCCTTTTTTTTATTTTGAAATTCTGGAAAATCATTGCAGTTAAAATCTCTTTTTTCCCATTTCAAGATATCAAGCCATTATACTCAATTGTTTTGAACTTGTTAATTGTTTGAATTGCATTACTCTGTGCTTTTATTCTATTCATTATAAATGTTGATTCTTGTACATTTGTTTCTCTTGAAAACAATGTCAGTGAGACTATGTGTTTAAATACAGGATTAATTTACTAAACTAGATTACATATGTAAAAACTAAGATACCATTTAGTGCATCCATACCTCATCAGTCAGATTTAGAATCAGTTTTATTGGCCAAGTATTAGGCATACAAGGAATTTGACTGCAGTTCCCGCACGCTCTCAGAGTACTTACACACAGTGCCAATACCTCTGTACAGGAAGGTACACGTAGACATACAGCTTAAAACAATGTCAACAAAGCTACACAGAGAAGAGCAAACATAAATTAAGGTCAACAATAAATACATACAGCCTATATAAGCAAACATGCAATGGCTCTATGCAGGTCAAACTATCACTTGAAACTAGAGAAACTAGAAGACTAGAAAGGCGAAGTACAGTCAGTCTACATACTGTAGATATTTTATTTATAGGCTTTCTATGTACAGTATACAACCTGCTTAGATTTACATTTGACAGTAATTATGAATGATATGAAGTGCAGTTGCTTTGGGACATAGTTATTGCAAAGATTATTGTGTCATTATGAAATGCATTCTGGGAGGAAAAAAATGTTTTGTTTAATTTTAAGGGCATGTGCATTTTATTGACATCGTCAGAATTAAAGCAGAGAGCAGGAAAACAATGAGCAGACCTTATTTCAGACTTTCACCACTAGAGGGGAGTGTTGACCGTGATCCAGGAACTCTCATTCTAAAATATCGCGAGAGTTCATTTGTTCCTGCTTCCGAAGGTCAGCTGACGTTACTTCAGTGTGGTGACCAACAGCAGCCACTGTTAACCAGAGCCGAGCTCCCAACGTAAAACATCGACGCTGTAGCATTGGTAAGCTATATGCTATATATATAACTTATATATATATTATCATTGAGGAGTATACATTCTGTACATGCTGCTTTATACTGCATAAAAAAAGCATACATTCACGAGCTAGCCAAAGACAAGGTAGCTAGCGTTAGCTCACATGCTAGTAACGATGGTAACAGAATATTCTAGACCCACCTGCTGCTAACGCTAGCTTTCGCAGTGTTAGCATTAATACATCACCGACATTAAGTCTTCTGGGGGTCTTTGGTTCACGTTGATCAGACGTAAGGCGTTAGTCTCCTGCATCTCTATCGGTCCTCCGTTTATTAAAGTAACGTTAATCATTACACTGGCAGACTGTCGAATGCTAGGTTGGCTAGTGTAGCTAACATACATACTTTAGATCTTCCTCTTCCGTACAACAAATAATATGTGTTAGTTACTCTGTTGAATTTCCTGAGGTTAGTCATTCAAATAAACAGTTTCACTCTAGGAAGCCACCGTGTCTTCTTGGTTGGTTTAGTTAAATTGATGTGTAACGTAAAGACAACTGCGATTTATCCAGCGTCAGGCAATACGTTAGCTAACTAACGTTACTTCTAAAGAGCAACACCAGAGATACAAGTGTGGTGGTAAGAGTCCCTTAAGGAAGCTGACCTGCGACTTTGAGACTGCTGGAAGGCTGGAGTGGACATGATTAATAGATCAATCCATTTATTGAATGAATGAATGAATGAATGAACATGAATTGGCACTTATCTTGATGATCATTTAAAGGAAAGAAGCCAACCATTACATCCTCTTTGTGGAGTCTCTCCCCACTTTGTCACAGAGCGACTAACGTTAGAGTCAGTTGAATGTGTTTGGGATTAAAACTGTTTGTCAGACAGTAATAACAGTAATACATAAATGTCACCATTGACTTTGAGGAATTGTGGTTGGGCATTTTTCAGTATTTCTTAAGAAAAAGATAATCAGCTGATTGATTGAGAAATAAATTATCATTAATTGTAGACTAAGGAAAGGTTTGTAATGTAACAACTATGTGTTGTCTTTTTAGTGTAGTCGTGACTCCTGTATGACTTGTCAGTATTGCTTCATGACTTGACGTTTTTTCCCAACAGACCAACCCACACTTCCAAAGATGGCTGATACAAACCAACAAAGTCCTCCGCCCCAGCTAGGGCCTCTGGTAAGCTGACTTTTTGACCCCCACAGTTACATCTTCTAACCGATGTGTTAACGTTGATATCCGTATGAAAGAATGAACCCATTGAGAGGTAAAACACCTTGTATTCAAACACTGATACACAAAGAATTTCGTGCGATTTTGACATTTTCTTCTCGTGTAAAAATGTGCATCGGTCAGGTTCTACAACAAAGACCACTTTCAATTGATAGACATAAAAGCACAACTATAAATCTGAATTAACAGCGTAACTAAGGGTTATTCATAATAATCCAATCAGATAATGCAAATAATCAAATTCAGATGTTGATATTGAATTAATAATAATATCATTATAGCACAGTTATTAATGTTCCTGTATTTATATTAGAGCCACAAGCTTTAGTCCAATGACTAAAACTGACTACAAATTAATCTGCAACAATTTGGGTAATCTCTTAATCGTTTATGGCATTTTTTAAGTATGAATGAGAAAATCTCAATAGTTTCCAATGTCTTCTAGGTTTTCTTAGTCTTCAGTGGTAATTACCTGAATAACTTTGGCTTTTGGTTTAACAAAACAAGATATCTTAAGAGATCTACTTGGGCTTTGGGGACTTGTGATAGGCATTTTTCACAACTTTCTGACACTTTTTTAGACCAATTGATTAATCGAGAAAATAATTGGAGGAATAATCAATAATGAATACAATTGTTAGGTGCAACCCTAATTTGACTCTTAGATATTGGGACAAAGGTACATTTGGTCCCCTTTTATATTTTTCCTTCAAAGTCTGTATTGAAACTAGTCAACTAGTTTATGTAAAACCTGTTTGAAATATAAATATTTACTCGGGCAATGTCAGTGAAAGGACCGGGTTCTTTCATGATTTTTCAGTTGCATGTTGTCTCCTGACTTCTGATGAGAGAGTGATCAAGTTAACTGCCAGATTGAATTAAGTTGTTTTTTCAGTTTGGCTTTTATGCTGACCGTTGAGAGAACAGTAAAGGTCTGAGCCTTTCATTTCATCAGTTTTCAGTTTACATGAGAAAACAGAAAACCTGCCCCGTCATTTCAAATGCTAAAACAGCTGATCATACGAGCTGACAGAGGTGTACCAGCACCTGAAACACTGTACTGCACTGTACATGATGTTCCACTTTAACATTTAGCATTGTGTTTCCTTCAAATTTGATGTGCCTAAAACTCCTGAATGAAATGTTTTTCTTTCTTCCGCAGCAATTTCTAATGAGTAACAAGCTGGAAACTGCAATGTGGCTTTCACGACTCTTCACAGTCTACTGCTCTGTAATGTTTATTCTACCAATTTTGGGGTGAGTTCACTCAGGGACAGTGTTTTACAAACTTTGATAACTGGTAGTTAGAGTGATAGCGACGCACTGCTTTCACTCCCTTCTCCTTTCTCCCGGCCTGAACAGACGTCAGAATATCTTTGACTGCTTGTGTGTTTCAGACCTTATGCAGCAGCTAACTTCTATCAGCGAGCCTTGTTAGCAAACGCCCTCACCAGTGCCCTCCGGTTGCACCAAAGGCTTCCACGCTTTCAGTTGAGCAGAGCGTTCCTGGCCCAGGCTCTTCAGGAGGATAGCTGCCATTACCTGCTGTACTCACTCATCCTGGTCAACTCCTACCCCATCACAAGTATCCTTTCACCTTCAAATATGCAGAAAAGACAAATGCGTAGTGATGTATATCTAAAATCGAAAGAGAGTTCACGTGGAGGTTTCCAGTGATGACACTGCAGTGAGTGCCTGTTTAGGACTATTGACCTTTTTGTTTATAATGCAGTTCAAGTGACAGTCGGTGAGTCATAGGGATGTAACGATACAATTCACAATATGATTTTCTCACATATATACAAAATATATCTTCTCTCATACATGGTCCAGTATGCAACTTACCTTGTACAGTTAGTGTGATGTAGAAACGTGAAGCCACCAGTGCACATACACTGAGAATGGACTTTACAGTGAGACATCTTATGTCCAGCAAGAAAACTTTAGAAATTGAATTTTTAATGAGTAAGAAGGAGTAGATGACTTTAGAAGAAAAGATGATTTTAATGTGGAAATTATACTTTTGTTTTGTGGAAACAACGTATCAGACACACATTAATGTTCCAAAGAGATTCTTTGTATATGTCCTAATACACGTCTGGAGGGGATCTTTAAATTTCTATTTTGCTTCTTGTTGTTTTTTGAAAAAAATATATCTATGTAGGAGTTCTGTTCCTATCTTTTTGATTGAATGGGTTACATTGCATTGCATGCTCATTCAGTGGTTCTAATTAGTATCACATGAAAGTGCTTGATGTATTGCACTGGGGCCTGCAGGAGGGTTTATTATATACCCAATGTTCCAGTATTACTAAATCCCAGGATCTCAGTCTTTAAAATATATAATCACGTCTCATCATTTATAATGATGTGGCCCTAAAATATAAAACTAAATTATGTGTAATGTTTATTATCTGTGTTTTTATGTTGATCCTTAACATTTGTGTCCAGTGAGCATCTTCCCTGTCTTCCTCTTCTCCTTGCTTCATGCAACTACCTACACCAAGAAAGTCCTTGATGTGAGTATAGGGCAGCAGCCGGCTGCTGTGACTTTTAATGCTGTTAGTTAAAAATGTATGACAGAAAGCCTTTTGCTGAACATTGTTTAACCCCCCCCAGGTGGAAAACTGCCACTAGCCAAATGTTGTTTTAATCATCTACTCAATCAAGCAGCCATTGCTCAGAGACCCAAATTCAGCCTTAAAACCTAATAAAGCCAATGATTGATATTGTGATTACCTTTGCAGTTACTTCTTTGTATCAATATTTCATGTGAACGACGTGCCTCGCTGAAAACTTAACTGCTGCTCTTTTTGTCAGCTTTTGATTTAAAAAAAAAATTGTCTTTGCAGTCTGTGGGCCCCAGCAGCTTGATGTTCATCAGAAACCTCCTGGACAAACTTACAACCAATCAGCAGAACATTCTCAAGTTCATCGCCTGTAACGAGATCTTCTTGATGCCAGCCACTGTTTTCATGCTCTTCAGGTGAGTCTGACCATCAAGTGTGTTTTTTTTTTTTTTTTTTTTAAATTGTAAAGAGACATTTCTGATCCTTACTGTAAACTTGTATTTATTGCATTGGAATGTCATTATATATCTACCAATATGTGCACACAAATCAATGACACTGGGGTGGAATTAGACAGTTTTCTGCTAATGCAACCAGTCAGTTTATCAATCAGTTTATCAATCAGTTTATCAATCTTTATTCTCAAGAACAACAATGGCGGCTGCTAAAGAGGTTAGCGTAGATGCTGCTAGCATCAGATACATCAGAACAGGAGCATATTTCTTTATTGAAAGAAGAGCAAAGAACAGCACTGAAGACTTTTCTCAATGGAAAATATGCTTTCAGTCTTCTCCCAACTGTCTTACTGGTTCATTGATCTGACTGGTTGAAGTTAACTCATGATGGTAATAGACAGATGGTTCATCCAATCACCTGCCAAGTATTTGTTGAAAGTGCCTGCCCTTTTCTCAACAGTTTCTAAGGGTGACTTTCCAGATGGTTCTGTGTGACAAATGCACCAGGTTTTGCAAAAATGTAGTCCTGTAAATCCAAGTTACTAAATGTGGTACAAAGAGGCCAGACAGTCATTGTATTGGACTGCATTAGATTATACAGATGTTCCATTTGCTTGTTATTGTAGTTAAAATAAATATTAGCAAAGTTTTTGAAAAGCGCTGAACAAATAAAGTTTATCATTAATGTTGTTATTTATTTGTAAAACATTATTCACTTGCCTATATCGTGTCTTTTTTGACAGCGGCCAGGGGAGCTTGCTGCTGCCTTTCATCTACTACCGGTTCCTCACTCTGCGTTACACATCCAGAAGAAACCCTTACTGCCGGTAAGTTAAATAATACAACATTGTCACAAAGCACACGTGTTTATGTAAATGTATATAATATACAATATACAACAAGGTAGTTATTATTGCTGAATAAACATTTCTTTGTAATTCTCCAAAGTTTTTTACTGATGCTTACATAAAAGAATAATTTTAAATGTATTTTATTTTCTTGCAAACCAAAATTAAATGAAAACATCCTAAAGTATGACATGTTTCAAACCCATGAAAATGTTTTTTACCTTGCATCTATGGGAGCTGATAATTCAGCTGGACTGATATAAGCAGCCGACATTAGCTCATATTGACGTGTTTTGGCCAAAAAGTTACAAGAAAGTTCAGTACAGAAATGCCAGGGATATGTTTGAGGTCATTCAGATACAGTGTCGCAATTAAATTGTTTTCCATGAGAGTGTACTCTTTATGTATCAGCTGTCAAATCAAGTATTGGTCAGGCTCTTTTACATGTGTTGTGTATGCATGCAGAAACATACTCTGATAAAACATTATGTTGCCGTAAAGCTGCTGCAACCCTCAGAAATGGAAAACTAGAGAATGACTTTACTTGGCTGTCAGGGTTGAGTATTAAACAAATCTGTTTCCACCCCAGCACCTTGTTCACAGAGCTGCGAATTCTTTTGGAGCACTTCATCATGAAGCCTGCCTGCCCTGTCTTCTTCAGGAGGATGTGCCTCAGCAGTATCGCCTTCGTCAGTCGTCTCGCCCCCACGGGGGTCTGATTGCGCTACATAAAAGTTTTGTTTTCTTTTTATGTTTTGTTTTTTTTCCACCATTTAGGATGTGACTTAAACTTTGATGGGGACAGACATTGCCATCAACAGAAGGAACTGTTTTTTGAATGTCAACTTTACAGTCTGTGCTCCAACTTCTCTGTATACTTGAGTACAGTTGAAGACCAGCCAGTAATGCACTGAAGTCTCATGGTGATATTTCTTTCCCATCTTCTTAATGTGACCTCATTCAAGCAGTGGACACCCCTCACTTTATTACGTTCACTGAGTGGAGCACAGTAGACATCAGCTGTGTTCTGTATGTATCGGCTGTTATGTTGTCCTCTTATGTCTTTATTTATTCATGAAGATTTCTTATTCTATGATGAAACATTAACATTCTGAGATTAGTAACTTAAATGAAAATGTGCTTATACATAATTAAAAATGTTCTTTTACTTAAAAGAAAAGCTTAGATGGATGGAAGATGGGGTTTGTTTGCAATTTCTACCCAGTTCAATTTCTTTTTTTATTATGTACAAAGCATTCGATGCTCTGATTTGTCTAAATGCCTAACTTTAAATGTATTCCATCAATGCCATGAACTCACTCTTTTAACAACATGCACAATCTATATGTATGTATGATGTCAAAATGGGTGTTGAATTGAGAAACAAGATATCTGCTGTATTTTATAGAATATTTAAAGTACAGACATTTTGCTGTAGGATTCATATTTGAAATGAGTTGCACAATGCATGTCATGCTTCTGAATGGATTCTGACCTTGTCTCTCAGTTCGAAAACTGTTTTGAATTCGCTTCATTTGTTAATTTGTAGTTTTCTTGCTTAATGCATGCTCTCATTTTTCTGCCATGTTTAATGTCTTTATTTGCCTACAAACAAACCACATTTTTATGATAAGATAAAATTATCTCTTAATTAAACCAATAAAATATTAAAGACCAGTAATGTGGTTTGTGATCATACTTTGTTTTAATTAATATAGTTGATCTTGGCCTCATAAGAAACAAATCTAATGAACCACAGTGTCTCTAGATGTAAAATATATGTTGCTATGCTGACAAACAATATGTTTCAAATAAGAAGTTAATTCTTCAAATAGTCCAACCAACCTTAACTCAAGGTCTATTTACCATAATTAAAGCTGTAATTAAAGCTTTCAGCTCAAACTGGTGGTCTTCATCAGTGGATAGATTCAAACTTATAAAAGAAGGTTTTGCTTTAAGGATATCATAGTGTAGTATGAAGCACATATCACAATATTTTCGCATATAGGGACACCATACAACCAGTGGCCACTGTGTGAGATACTCCTGTACAATTCAATTCAGTTTTATTTGTATAGCGCCAATTCATAACAGAAGTTATCTCAGGACAGTTTTCAAATAGAGCAGGTCTAGACCGAACTCTTTATAACATTATTTACAGAGACCCAACAGTACCACCATGAGCAAGCACTTGGCGACAAGGGCAAGGAAAAACTGCCTGTTAAAAGGCAGAAACTTCTGACACACCCCGGTTCTAGGTAGAGAGAGAGGTAAAGACAGAAACAAATACAATTTGAGTCCAAAACAACTGTTGTGCCATAAAGTATGCTTTAATGATGCCTAGAGGTGTTAATTCCATCATATGATTTAACACTGAAGTCATAGATAGTGGTGCTGTTGTATCTCATGTATGTAAATAGTGAAAACAGTATACAGTAACAGTACACCGCCTTTAACCACGACCACAGCTACAAACATAATAGTTACATTTTCACATTTTCGACAATCTAACCAAAAAAATAACATTATAAGCTTTATAGCAGAACTACTGTATTGAATGGCCCTATATTGTACAGGTGTACCTAATAAAATGACCACTGTGTATGTAGAAGCGATGTTAGGTCGGTATCACTGGGGAAACAAAACTCCACCGCTTCAGAGCAGAGTCTGCGCCAGTCAACCAATTACAACACAGCTTCAATACCTGACAGTGAAACTCATCCAATGGTGTCACAGCTTGTTACGGCAGCAGCGTTGCCATTGGTAACGCGTTTTAGCTTGTTGTCAAGTGTTGCATAGGACGTTTATAGCTAATATTCGCGTTAAAAGGGCTGTTTGGTGGCGTAGTCCAACATATACAGACAGCGAGTGGCCTCCGCTCAGCAGAGTCTGATACAAACGATATTTATTCACCACAGTGACGTTAGACAGTTGGCGTGCGGATAAATCGTGTTAGCCAATTAGCCTGCTATCTAACGTTAGCACGCCGAGCTAATCTCCTTGCCTTAGATAGTTAATCCCAGTCTCACTTAACAGTTAACATCGTCTTGCAATTCGGATGGAAAATTTGACCAACAAGTTGTGAATGGCAGATGTGTGTGTGGCAGACTGCAACTACTGATCCCTGCGGTTTTATGACCGCATAACCTACCTGGGAGATTTGCACCATACCTTTTCAACCTCTAACATAAGATCCAGGGGAGAAAGAAGATGGAGATCCACCTCAATCGAGTCGATTACATGCAGGTAACACCAAATACTGTCCGTTTTTTATTTAGTGTATGTTGCTCTTGTAGGAGTCTTGTCTTCTGACAGTGGGGTTTGAACATTAACTGAGCGATTCAGGTCGTTTCCCTCAAGTAACTTTCTTTACTCTGTCTATTTTTGTTAGAATAAAAATGCCTCTGCTTTGTCCTCACAGGTTGGTGTGACCTCCCAGAAAACTATGAGGCTGCTTCCGGCCTTGGGGAAAAAGGCAACCCAAAAGGTATTGTGAATCTGTCAAAGCAGTGCCTGTGACTAACCACTACTCATTTGAATAAAATTGTTTCACACTACAGCATCACGATTCTTGGTTGTTGTCTCTTTGTTTCAGGTTGCTATTGCTGATCATGATGGTATACTGACATGTTTTGGGATGAAGAAAGGAGAAGCAGTGGTGTGTGTCCTGGTTAAGATTTTCCTTTTCTTATCGTACAGCCAGTTGGTTGTTAATGTGTTAAATTTCTGTTTCTAATGGCGAGAAATTTGACTCTCTTTTTCAGCCAGTGTTTAAAACACTTCCAGGGCAGAAGATAGCCAGAATGGACCTTGGAGGAGCAGCGGGAACTCCACAGGAGAAGATCTTTGTTTGTTCTGGTTCTCAGGTCCGAGGATTCACAAAGAAAGGCAAACAGTTCCTCACATTTGACGCCAACCTCACTGAGAGCATCAACGCCATGTAGGAACCACCTCTCCCCTTTTCAATGGACTCACAATCAATATTGACTCCTGTAGAACTGTCTGATTTTCACTGTGATGAGCTGTGTTGTTTATTCTCTTTTCCAGGCATGTCTCTGGCGCTGACCTTTTTGTGTGTGCCAGTTACATCTACAACCACTACTGTGACTGCAAGGACCAAGACTACTACCTCTCTGGAGACAAAATCAATGACATCACATGTCTGTCCTCCGAGAACCTGACTCGCCTCATCCCAGTCCTGGCGTGCCAAGATCGAGTTCTCAGAGTCTTGCAGGTAGACCGAGATTATATTTACTGTTCTGAGTTTGACACAAGTTCTGCCCATTGACAGGTTCTACCCCAAACAATTAGATGAGATTTGTTATTCTATGAGTTTTCTTATTCTGAATTTGTAGGGATCTGAACTTGCCTATGACATTGAAGTCCCTGGCCCTCCATCTGTCTTAGAACAGTTCAACAAAGATGGAGGCAAGTAAACTTCTCTGTACGTTGTGTACTAGAACAATAAAACTTAAGACTGCTTTTCAGGGAACAGAACAAACATAACAGCAGTAATGTTTCTACAGGGGAGGAAATCCTCTATGGAACGTCAGATGGCAAAATAGGATTGGTCCAAATCGGTGAGGATTCAGCTGCGACCAAATGGGAGCTCGACAATGGCAAAAAGAAAGGAGGTATGCTGTTTACATGACTACAATACCAGGGTTTAGACAGTTAAATACAAATAACTAATATGTTAGCATGTGAATATTAACTTGCAGGCAAGGGGAAACCATAACAGTGAACAACTCATCTTCTTTATTTATTCTCTGTCAATGTTACAATATTGCATTGTATTGTGGTTGTTAACAAGAACTGTTCTGCAGACCTTCACTTCTTTAAGGATGCTCCAACATCTTAGATTTACACTTTTCTGTCTCCCATCAGGAATTCTTTGCATTGACACTTATGACATCATTGGAGACGGAGTGAATGACATCCTGGTGGGCAGGGACGATGGAACGGTTGAGGTCTATGGTTTCGACAGCGCCAGTGAGCCCACATTACGCTTTGAGCATGTGAGTTTATTCCCAGTGAAACTCATCAAATGTACAGAGTTTGTCTTCAGTTTGTAGCTTTCCAATGCTAAGGAACAGTATTATATTATTTATTTTTTGCATTACATGATTGATGCTGATCGTTGATGGCCAAAGTTTCCTGTCTTTCCTCACTTCAGGTTTTGTCAGAGAGCGTGACTTCCATCCAGGGTGGCTGCGTGGGGAAGGAGTCTTATGATGAGGTCCTGACTGCCACTTACACAGGTTAGTTAACAGTACGCCTAGTGTTCTCAGATTTCCTCTCAGAGAAGAAAATGTGGCTGTTGTCCTGCTCGTCAAACTGTCTATCTGCATTACTGCATTATTAGAGAGATGGAGTAATGTCTTACACTGTCTGACAAGTAGTATGGGTCACTTAAAACCCAACCGGTAAGTGAAATATGGAGAGGGATCTGTACAGCATATTCTACATTAATGTCATTACCTTGTTCAGGATGGGTGACTGGTTTGACCACTGAGCCCCAGAAGGCTGAGGTTGGCCCCGGAGACGAGGTCAGGATGAGTAAGGAGACGCAGTCTAAAGTAGAAGCACTCAGGTATCAGCAAAATTGAGCTTTATTTCTCATTATAAAATGTGTTCTTTTGCCCATTAATGCGTTTGACTTACTACTTAATGGCTCAAGTACAATTTCAGAACAGATCTGTTCTTCAGTCAGTCATACATGTTCCCTTCCAGGGCAGAGCTGGAGCAGCTGCAGGTCAAAGTCCTACAGGGCCGTGAGCAGTACCAGCAGACATCCCAGTCGAGCACAGCCGTCTCCGCTGTGCCCGTCTTTAGCATCAATGACAAGTTCACCCTCTGCCAGGACGATGCCAGCTACAGCCTCACTCTTGAGGTCCAGACTGCCATCGACAATCTGCTGCTCCAGGTCTGCTCATTAATAAATCCCTGTGGTTGCAAACTCTGGTGCCTACAGACTCTCCTGCTTATGAATAAACCATACTCTTGATGCCATGTTGCTGACATGAACAATCCAAATGTAACCTAAACATGACTCTCCTCTGCAGAGTGACGTCCCCATAGACCTGCTGGATGTGGATAAGAACTCAGCTGTGGTCAGTTTCAGTGAATGTGATTCAGAGGTGAGCTGTGTGACCATACACACAAACATACATACATACATACATACCTACATACATACCTACATGCATACATACATACATACATACCTGCTGCTGCTCCTAGAGGCCTGACCCTCTTATTCTGTGTCCAGCAGCCTAATGGGAATTTCCTCTTGGCTACGTACAGATGTCAGGCTAACACTACCAGACTAGAGCTCAAGGTAACATGCATCAAAATTTTGCATATTGTGGCATTTTGTTTCTTCTTCTTCTTTGTTCACTTCTTTCATGAAACGCTACCATAACATTCCTTTGTGTGATAGTGGATGCTTTTGATGAGACAGACCGCTCTGTTTTATGCTCCTTGCATCAATCACTTTACCTGAAGCAGAAACATAAAAATAGCCACCCATTCCATTTGCTCAAACTATTATAACGATGCACTGCAGAACAATAATGTGTATCATCCATAATAAATGCTGTCTTAGGTGAGATCCATCGAGGGACAGTATGGGACCCTGCAGGCTTATATTACCCCCAGACTGCAACCCAAGACATGCCAGGTCCGCCAGTACCAGATTAAACCTCTGTCCCTCCACCAGCGGACACACAGCATAGACCAAGACAGGTAAATCATTCAGAATAGAATTTGAATTTGAATTTGAATTCAGTCAGCAAATCTTATCTTGAAGCTTTCTCATTTCTCATTCCTGTGTTGCAATGCAAATGTTTGGTAGCGTTGATGCCCAAAATGAGGTTAAGGTCAATGGAAGGATGGCCTGGTTTCAGACATTGCTGCCCATGTTAGAGTTTTGCTTTTTTTTACCAGGTTACGGTGGATTCGAGTTGGATTTGAAAGCATAATAGGCATTATAAGTAAAAAAATATTTTATCAAAGGGAACCTTGAAAGTCTTTTTGAATAATGAAAGCCAACAGGATGCTAAGATCTATGTTTAGTTTTGAATCATTTGTAATAAATATATATATATATATATATATATATATATATAATGTTGCCAATAGCAGTAACATGAAATTTGCATGACATTGGTATCTTCTATCAGCTTTTCAGTCATGAGTTTGACCTTTCAAAATCTCTGTCTGTCATACAGGCCCATGAACAGGCTCAGTCTGGTGGGGCAGTTTAGTTTTGCTGAGATCCACTCCTGGGTGGTCTTCTGTTTGCCAGAGGTGCCTGAGAAAACACCAGCAGGAGAGAGCATCACTTTCTATTTCCACAACACTTTTCTTGGGACACAGCTTGAAGCCACCTACTGGTGATTACTAGCACACAGCAGCTTTTCTAGGACTGCATATGACTCTGTAAAGATTATAAGAAAACTGTCAAATGGTTGTATAATTTCATATCCTATCTGAGTGTTTTTTTATGTTATTTTTACAGTTTCAGTGTGGATTTGTGTTATTATAATCTAATTGGAATCAAACATGTTTTTTTTTCTGAATATGTAATTTTAGCAAAGGGGAGGGTCACTTCAGGTCAGACAACATCTCTACCATCTCCATACTGAGTGATGTTCTCTCTAAAGAAGCTACCAAGAGGAAAATCAATCTGAACATTTCATATGGTAGGTGTATTATTATTCATCTTCAATGTCTCCTGACATAATCCCTCCAGGGACTAATCTCTAGTAAATTAAACTCTCATAATATTTTTTTATTTGTGTTATTATTCTTCCAGATATTAATGATGACTCTGTGAGCCACACCCTGAAGATGATACATCCAAAGCTGGAGTACCAGCTGTTGTTGGCCAGAAAGGTTCAGCTTATCGATGCACTCAAAGCAAGTATTGGTTAAATGTGTCATTTTACAGGAAAAATTCACCTGAATCTTTATTAATACAGTCACTGTGTATGTCCACACCCGTCCTCTCAGGGCTGTTGACAGGCTTATTGGGAGATGCTTATGTTTATCACTTACTCACCTTGGCTCCACTTCCTCTCTTTGGATGGCAGGAGCTTCAGGTTCATGAGGGGAACGCTGACTTCCTCATCCCAGAGTATCGCAACATCTTGGATGATTCCACTAATCTCCTCGAGGAGTACAAGAAGCAGCCGGCGCACCTGGAGCGGCTTTATGGTGCAACACAATCACTGTATTTCATACATTTGTCAGTTCATTGCTAACACTGTGAGACAGGATTTCTGTTACACAGAAGTCAAGTTTTGTTATGAGTCTGACATTGTGACATAGAGCTTGTTGGCAACTAATATTTGTTTGTTTTTTTCTCTTTTTCTTTCCTGTAGGAATGATCACAGATCTCTTCATTGATAAATTCAAGTTCAAAGGCCAGAATGTAAAGACCAAGGTGTCCTCATTGCTGGAGATACTCGATAATTATGACTTGAATTCTCTGTTAAACTTTTTCAGCGAGGTATGATATCAGGTAGATAAGAGGGTATTTATTTACATGTCTTTGAGGGTCTTTTTTTGTATTGTAAATACAAACATTTTGTTTTATGATAGTTACTAGCAGTGTCTGTCATATTGTCATACTGTCATTTAGATACTGTCTGTTTGTTCTGTGGTGTGCAATATTTAAATATACACTATGTCTTTTGATAGCATCTAAAAACAAGAGTGGTGATTAATAAACCAAATTAAGGTTGCCAGAATAGTGGAGGTTCCTTTTTTTTATTAGTGGCTAAGCTTTGGTTGTGGAGTTTCAGTGACCAAATATAAGGTTAGTTAAAAGCACACATAATGTATGTTTATATATTATAATTACCATAGAATGTGCGTTCCTCCTCTTGAAATAAAAATGAGAGATTATTTGTAACCATTGTAAGATTCATCATTCAAGTGATGGAAAGTATGGTGAACAAATACTACCAATTAACCCCACCAACTACATGCCCGAATGTTAATGCATCACTCAAAATAAGCAAACATGATAATATAGCACCGACGGGACCCATGTAGATTTTACATTATGTTATATTATATGCTGGCAATGATTAATAGTAATTAAGTCATATTTTCAGGACAAAACTTGCAAAGTATTATTTTTATGTTGTGGTGTTGCTGCTTTTACTAAAGTGAAGGATCTGAAATCTTCCACTGATAGCAACAAATGAAAAAAACATGTGTCTGGCCATCATAAGTCAAACAATCACCAAATAACCAATGTTATATTGTTATATATGTTGTACTGCCAACAATGTGTCTGTGTCAAATAATCAATGATCGGAGCAGAGAGCACGTTTTAGGATGAACACATGTATTTGTATTGTGTGCACTGGTGGACAGGATCCCACAGCTGTTACTCCTATAACGTTTGTCCATACGTTCAAATGTGTCAAACCGGTTTTAAATTTGTAATTAAGCGAATTATCCTCTTTCGGCTCCCGTACAACTCTACGCGTCACTGCCTGAGCGCCCTGTGATTGGTCCGTTTCAATCCTCGCGGGCTACTTGAACGGAGAGAAAGCAACATCTCTACACGATTCAGGGTAAATGGACCGAGGCTAGCGCTCTTGTTTGCAGGTTAGTAGCAATTTAGCAACTCACGAGTATGGCGACTTAAAAAAAAAACCAGGTTTTACACATTGTAAACATTGTACCGCCAATTGTTGCGCTGTTTGTTTTTATCTGCTTTGTTTTAACACTGCAGTTCTAAGTGTCGTTGCCATCTCAACAGCTTAGTTTTGATTGTGAACGCTTGTTTCACCTTCCTCAGCGAGTTAGCAGCTAAGGCTAGCTTCGATATAACTGTCCATTATCTTGCGATCTCTTCAATCTAAACTAGTTCTCGACATATTTCCCACTGCGCAAGAGCTATCGTATCTTGACAGCAAACGGAGGCAGGTTGGACTTATTGTTTGAGGCAAACATGTCAGGAGTTAACAGAGAACAGGGAAGCGCGGCTAGTGAGTATCACAACCAAGAAAATGTGCTGTCAAGACTGAGAGGCTCACTAAAACACCGAGCTCCTTCAAACGACAACCAAGAAAACCATCCACCGAAACAAGCAGGCAGCAGAACCGTCCTGGGAGCCCTGCAGAACAACCAGCGGAGCAAAGCCCAGAACCACCGCGGCACAAAGCAGGTTAGTCTGGGTAACGATGCTAAAGGGCTCGCCTAGCTCGAGCTACTACCTGCTAATGTCTGTTACCATGGGTGCCATTGTAGGTTTTGGAGGCAACTCATTTAAGTTATCTTTCCAGTTAATGTTAGTCGCATGTCGGGCTTTACTGACACTCTCAACTAGCATTTTTTCTTTTTTGCGAACTTGCAGATTTTAAATACAGCTATAGCTACGCCTGTTGCACAGCTGTCCGCCATTTTAATGGCATCATTAAGTTGGTGATATTTTTCATACTTTTCTGCATCTACTTTGGCTCGGATACCCACGGGCTTGCAGTATGTTTTAAATTGTCTTATGTATTAGTTTCTCTCCCCTTCCCCAGTACTGCATCAAACACAGGTGCTCTGACTCTATAAAAAGGCAGGTTTCTGAAAATCGAGTGCAACAGATTAAAGGGTTTAATTTATTTCTTGAGCAATTATTGCTCTTGACATTTCTCTGTTCCCTGTGGAAGTTGCCACTATATCCCATGCTGTTGCTGCTTTAATCACATGAACCAATTGTATTCTGTACTGTGTATAGAAAACTTCTAATTGCCTCATTTTGTCTTTATATTGCCTTGCTGCAAAAAGCAGCAACCCCCTTTTCATGGGGCAAAGATCTGAACTGCCTGTTTTCTGTGTCTAGGAGTTATCCCAGACCGTGTCCTGTAAAAATGAAGACTTCAGCAAAAGCTGCTATGAGAAGCCCTCCTCCAAGCAGCCTGCTTTCCAGATCCATGTGGACGAGCCCGATGGCGCTTGCACCAAGAAGCCTCAGCAGGTGGTCGACGCTGTCAAAGCAAAGTCAGTCGCTGCAGAGTCTCCCCTCACAATCGACAATGCTGTGGCAAGGCTCCGACAGCCCCTGGCCACCATTGACATGCCATCAGCAATGGATGTCAGCTTTGGTGAGTTGTAAATGCAACATTTCAGATTGTTCAGTCACACACATTTCCAATTCGTCAAAACTACAACGTATTTATAGAAACTACAGCGGACATATTTTTAGTTTTCACTGCTCTAAATGTTAAACTTTTCTTTGCTCAGACTCTCCCATGGACATGTCTGTGGTTGAGGGGGAGGAGAAACCGGTCAATGTAAATGAGGTCCCAGAATATGCTGCTGAAATCCACACATACCTGCGGGAAATGGAGGTGAGAAATTAATTGACTAAAGTGCTTATACTGCAGCTATCTCTGCCTCTAAGATCTTCTGCTGTTTCTCATGGGTTAGGTTTATGAGGCCTTTCAACAAGCAGTTATCTGAATTTTATCTGAAGTAACTAACTTGTGTTGCTCCACAGGTAAAAACCAGGCCTAAAGCAGGCTACATGAAGAAACAACCTGATATCACAAACAGCATGAGGGCCATCCTGGTGGACTGGCTGGTTGAGGTTGGAGAAGAGTACAAGCTCCAGAACGAGACACTTTATCTGGCTGTAAACTACATTGATCGCTTCCTCTCGTCCATGTCTGTCCTGAGGGGGAAGCTTCAGCTGGTCGGGACTGCTGCCATGCTGTTGGCTTCGTAGGTTTATTTTACACTTGTTAATATGTATTTAAATTCACTTTTTGCTTCAACTGACTATTTAAATGTTCAAATGCAGGAAATTTGAAGAAATCTACCCCCCTGAGGTGGCAGAGTTTGTTTACATCACAGACGACACCTACACAAAGAAGCAGGTGTTAAGAATGGAGCATTTGGTGCTTAAGGTGCTCTCTTTTGATCTGGCAGCACCAACCATCAACCAGTTTCTCACCCACTACTTCCTCCACCACTCGGTTAACAAACAGGTGGAAAGTCTGGCAATGGTGAGCCTGGAGCAATATTACAAATCATTAACACATTTGGCTACACTTGGCATACACCTGTACTAAGGAATTTTGTAGCCAACATGGCAAATCTCTGCTCAATAACTTGTAAACATGAAATGCATGTAGCTCACTCTTATTGGATATCTTCTCAGTACCTCGGGGAGCTCAGTCTGGTTGATTCAGATCCCTTCTTGAAGTACCTGCCATCACACACAGCTGCTGCAGCCTACATCTTAGCCAACAATGTAGTGACTGGTGGCTCATGGGTAAGTGAAGTTGCAGTCTAAAGGAGCCCTTATTTTTGTTTTTACTTAAGCATTAAAATCAAATGTCTTATCCCCTGATTATATTTGTGTACGCCTTTGTTGGAGTAACAGTTGAGTTTCCTCAACAAGTGGAAAATGGTGTGTGTGTGTGGGGGAAAAACAATGACTCCAGTTGTCTCCTCAGCCAAAGTCCATGTTGGAGATGACTGGCTACTCCCAGGAAGATCTGATGCCATGCATTGAGGATCTGCACAAACTTTACCTCAATGCTGCTCAGCATGCCCAGCAGTCTGTTCGGGAGAAGTACAAGGGCCCCAAGTAAGTAGACTGATACATTTGACCTAAAAGGGATTTTGCTTAATTTTCCCAACTGAATGTTTAGTCACTTTATTTTAATGCAGTCTGGCAAATGTTCTAAAATGCTGTTTCTTTTCCAGGTACCATCAAGTCGCCCTCATAGACACTCCAACTAAACTGCTGCTAAACTAACCCCCCCTCCCCCTTGTCAATGTAGAGTTGTACCAGTCTTTAATGTTTTTATAATTTTTTTTTTTTTTTTGTCTTAAATGATGTGTGCCACAATTTCAGATGACACAGCCTGCTCTTCTTGGAGTAGAGCTAGATGTTTAGAGTTTTTAATGGTATTTTTATATACACATTTATACAGACGCTACAGTTGTGTTGGTTAATCAAGCAGTTTTAATGGTTTGACTTTTAATCTCAGACCAAATGTAGACCTCTTCACCACTCTGTAAACATTCTGCCTTGATCCAGTGTCCTAAACTCCAATAGACTTGAATGTACTCAAACCCTGAACCTTAATTCTTCCACTCTGGGTTTATGTTATAAGCAGCTATTGTTGCTGGTTCACCTCAAGCTATTTGGCTTCATGGGATACAGATTAAAGTGTATTTGTCTGTCATGGAGTCAGCTGTCTCATTACATTGGTGTCTTGGAAGTTTAAAGCTTTTCAAGGCATCTCCTGCACTGTAAAATATGGCTCTTGTAAATAAAATGCATTTAAAGTAAGACTTCTATCTTTATGGTCATTGTACTCATGGGGGCAGCAGAGGACCACCTTTAGTCAGGGAGGTATTAAGATACAATAAAACTTAACAAATGGTGAAACTGAGGCCTGGGGTAACTAAATGTGTACAATCATTTAACTAAGGGTCAAAATGGGTCTACACTGTTAAGCTTAGTTAATTTAAAGCCTGGGGTGCTTTGCCTTATGAGCATGTAATTGCTTGACACAAGAGTTTATGTATGAGCTGTGGCTGATCAAGGGCTAAAGCCTTGATGGCAAAAAGGACATTGATAATTTGGAGTATTACATGGTTGGGATCCTAAAGTCACTTTTTCATGTCATGAAAAAATAGTTGCTTGACATGAGCCATTTTCTATACTTTCCACAAGATGTTAAGCATGTCATCAGCACAAATAAATGGGGAAAGGGGTTGCCTGAGATGCACAAGTGCATACATTTTAAGCAGAGCATGAACAAATATATGAAACCAAATGTTGAATGGTGTTTCCAAAATTACTTGATGTGATACTGTGGATTGCTAAATAACTAGTGTGTAGGTTTTAGTGGTATCTGGCAGAGCAGTTAGACAGCTACTCCATTGTTT